CCTACCAGATCAGGAAGTTGCTGAAATACAAAAGAATTAAGATAGAGTCCAAGATTAAAGGCCACAGAAACCAAACTAGAACACTGGATTAACTCATAAAAAGATTGTGTAAGGGGGTGGGGGCAGAAGACCAAAAATTTGCACTCAAGGTCTTCATAGTAACCCATCTCTCACTGGCACTTATGAACTAGTTTGCTGGTTAGGAGGTTTTAAGCTGCAAACAACAGAAACTTGCCTAAGCAGGAAAACAACGTATGAATCTGAGACTTTCCTGGAAATCATTAAAAAGAATCATTAAGAGTTTAAATCTAAAGCCAGGCACAGTGACACCAACCTCTAACCCTAGGGAGGTAAGGGCAGAAGGGTTGCTACACATTTGAGGTCACCCTGGAGTTCCAGGCCACCCAGGGTTATATAGTAAGACACCAACTCCACAAACAAACAAACAAAAAACCCATCTACTGACACCCACAATACAAAATGTTCCAGTGAAGGTATTGTCACAGTCCCTTCTGGAATTTCAAATCAAAATTTGCTATGCATGCTTTCCTTGGTGGAACCTAGGTCAATCGGCCACAGCTTTAGCAGCGATGAAAACAAGGTGGAATGTGCCAGCCGGAGAACCTGAGCGAGAAAGAGGCACTGCTCTCTCTGTCAAGGCTCAGAAGCGTCCGTCCGTCCGTCCGCTCCAGAGTCTACTTAAGTTCTGACCACCGTGGAAATCCACTTCATGTCATTACAAGCAGAGTGAGTGTCCTGTGCTTAGAGGCAGCAACAAGCCTCAGTGAACACTTCCAAGTCCCACTTTGTAATTATGGTAATGTGACTCAGCTATGATCGCAAAGAGGCCACAAGTTACTGAGGCTGCTGTATAAAAACCTGACAGTGTTAGCCGGCCACAGGTGCTGGAATTCAAGAAGCTGCCTGGGAATTTTCTGGTCTCATCACAAAGCTCACTTTAATTTCCCTAAGACATTTCTTCTTGAATCCACTTCTTTTCCAATAGCAGAAGAGGAATCTGCTTTGGTCATTGAACATTAGAGATTTTAAGTATGAGAAGAGGTATCTGTGATGTTAGCATGTGTGTGTTTTCAGTGGTTAGGAGACCGTCAGGAGGCACACGCTGAGATGCATGGCCTTGATGGCTCAGCCCAGCTCTCTCCCACTGTTCCACTGAAACTTTCATGCTCACGCCTGGGGATCTGCTATCCTTTATTTTGCTGGACTTCTTACCCCACACACAGCTGCTTGCTTTGTCCCCAAAACATCCTCCTCTTTAGGTCAACACCTCACTCTCTCCCTTGGTTGGTCCTTCCAGGTCCCTTCCTGGGAGACCCTCTTATCTAAAAACACACAAATGATGTGTCTCTGGCATTTGTTCATTATGGCACACTCAGCCAACCACATTTTATGTATGATTTTTTTTTAACCTGCATGTGTGTGTGTATGCATGTGATACAGGCCAGGGGTCTTGACTGGGTTCATTTTCTGCCAGTTAAAGAATTAAGAGGAAGGGAAATCTGAGCACAACAGGTTACAGCAGAGCAATCACAAACACAACCAACAGGGACAGACAGACTCAGCGATTGAAGAAAGGTGTTCATTGGGGGTGAGGAGACATACAAATGTAGCAGACACACAGAGAAAAAAGACCCTTACACAGACGGAAAAATCCAGTCTCTTCTTGAGGGCTGGGGGTTTTCAAGTCTCTGAAGAACTGGTCAGTTTGTAGGAAGAGGATGGTTGATTGGCACACATCTGTCATACAACATGTCCTGGATCTGGCTTTGGACCTGTTGAGCCAGTCCGTCAGCAGGAGGCCTGCTGGTGGGAAAAAGGCCTGCAAGGCCTTTGTTGTTTTAAGCTGCCAGGCTTTTGATTCAAGTCAGGGGGGTGAAGAAAAAGTCTTGGAAATTCTCCATGGCTGCCTGTCAGTCTACCTACCACAGAGACTGTCTCCTAGTCGCTCACATGTGTGTGCACTTGTGCATGCCTGGAGATCCGAAGAGGGGCATCAGATCTCCTGCAATCACAGATAGCTGTGAGCAGCCATGTGGATGCTGGGAGCCAAACCTGGGTCCTCTCCAAAAGCAGCAAGTGCTCTTGATTCCTGAGATATCTCAACCCCCCCTCCATTCTCACAGCTCTGCCCCGACTCTGACCTTCCTCTAGGAAGCCAGGCTTGCTTCTCCACCTTGGTTCTAGTGCCTCATTTTCCTTTTAAAAACCCATCAAGTTCCAAACCAAGTTTATTTCATCTTCAAATCTGCTTTTCTGCCAGGCGTGGCGGCACACATCTTTAATCCCAGCACTCTGGAGGGAGAGGCAGGTGGATCTCTTCAAGTTCAATGCCAGCCTGGTTTACATAACAAGTTCTAGGACAGCCAGGGATACATAGAGAGACCATGTCTCAAACAACAACAAAATCTGGTTGGTTTTTGTTTTGTTTTGTTATCTTTTATTTTCTGTCTAACACAATCACCCATAATCTAGTTATGGTCCACTCGAGTCCATTCAAAGACATCACAAGTCTCTATCTTGTCAAAGGCCTTCCTTCTCTCCTTTAAAATCTGACCCATGCTAATTTGAAAGTGCTCAAGTGACTACAGTTATTTTGATACTCAGACTAGGATGGGTTCTCAGTAATGCAGCTGCCTTTGAATCCTTGTGTTCCTGTGAGTAACCCCTCACCCATCCTCCTATAAGTCATCCCAATACATTCACTGGATCACCAACTTGACTTTGGTGTGATCTTCACTTCCATCAGCCTTCTGTTCCCTATCATGGTCCCACATAAAAGGGACGAATTAGGTGATTTCCTTATCCCTGATTTTGGAAGATGAGCGGCCCCTGGAACGGCCTCACAAATCAGCAACTGTTTCATAGTAAGAGTGGAAAAAGATTCTGTAGTTCGCCCAGATTCTGCATTCCCATTGCCGGAGCTCTCTATTGACTGAAAAGAAATTTTGTATTCACAATACCAGAAAAAGACTCGTGAATGGTCCTAGTGACAATAGAGGACAAGCTAGAGATATTTGGGTTAGAGACCATACGGGTATTGAAATTTGGGACCTTGGCACTAATAGTTCTCCATTAATGCAGACATCTTGGGTTAGATGTACTTCTGGTCCTAAAAACCTAAATACCACCTCAGTTACAAGGCAGAAACTGGCAAATGAAATTACAGGGAGACCTGTGAAAATGCGCAGCTCCATCCAGCCCCTGCCTGAGATGCGGGGAGTCAGAACTCTTCCATGGGGGAGTTTAGGAGCTGCTGTTACGAAGTCACCCAAGCGATTTCATAATTAGGTAGTTTTGAAAAAACCTCATCTATGTCCCGATGACAATAACACAAACCTGTTAATCCCAGAGAGGAAACGGTTTGGAGAGAGGCAACCTGTAAGACCGGTGTCTCAGCAGCGTGAGAAGACGGAGTTAGGAAAGCTACCGTGATAGCCTAGTCACTGACGGCTGGACCAGGCCCTCCTTTGTTCTGCCCCCCACCCCACGCACTTTACACTATTTGCAACAAGACTTCCCCCAAGACTCCCTGACGTCTCTATCTGCAGAAGGAATCTGAAGGATACCAGATGGAGCAAAACACTTCCAGGTGCGAAGCTGATACCACAGGGCCAGGATAGAGGAGAGAGAATTCTAAACAGGTCTCGTTTCCACTCCTGAACGTTGGAAATCCAACCACTTACCCAGTAGGGAGAGCCTCTTCAGCAAGCCCGCTTCTCTAATGGCAGCTGGACCATATTCCACTCCTTTCTTTTTCTGTGAATAATACAAATCCCACAGATATAAGGAAAGGTCGAGGAAGGGGCAGGAAAACTTTGACACAGTGATGCTACACCGAATTCCTAACAGCTTCCTCTGCAACCCTGCCACAGCATCCAAACTTCCACCGCAGGGGGCTGGTCATTTTATTAAATGCTTAATGGATGGAGGAGGCAAAATTCCATTATTGAAAGCAAATCAACCTCCCGAGTCTCTCACTGAGAGCCGGGCCAGAGGAGTCCCAGATTGGGAAGGGGCTGAGTGAGGCTATGATCCGGTGCCTGGGATGACAGGCTGGGCTTTCCCATCAGTGAGCGCGCCCTCCCCGACAGCAGGTTTCTTTCTTTGAAGACAGAACAAAGCACCTCGGGTCCTCCCGCAGCTGGCGAGGCCAGCATTGATTTCTTTCCAGGTTAATGCTCTTTAGGCAAGAATAGATCCTGAAGCCTTCCTTAATCCCCCGGTCGCAGTCTCTATCCTCTCCAACAATTTTCCAACGACCCCGGTTTTGCCTTCTCCAGATCCTCCAGGGAGTCCTCTCCTCTCCCTTTTTCTCCCCTTCACCACCCCAAGCTGGAAATACCGATCTCTCCATCGTCCTGGGGAGGCCGCAGCAGCCTGCCCTCTCGATGCCCACTGCCCTCTCGATGCCCACTGCCCTCTCGATGCCCACTGCCCTCTCGATGCCCCACTGCCCTCTCGATGCCCACTGCTCTCCTTCACCCCTCGCCTTCCATCCGTCCCTCATCTGCATCTGGGTCGGGGAAAAAAATCCCAAGTGCGCTCCGGTGCCAGCCGCGGGAACCCGCGAGCTTCCCCCCTCCCCGCGGCGTTTCTCTTCATTCTTGCCCCCCCCCACCTCCCGGCCCCACGCCACTCTCTCGGGGCTCCCTGTCCCGCCAGCTCGGGTCCCCGCTCTCACCTGTCCCTGAGAGAAAGGGGCTCCGACTATAGCCACAGAGTGGACAGATCTCGTCAGGACGCAATGGACTTGCGCGCGGAGGAGACTCGAGGCTCTGCTCCTCAGGAACATGATTGGCAGGGAGGGGATCACCATAGGAGAAGTGACTCAGTGCGACTCAGAATCTCGAGTGAGCTCCGCCGCCCCCAGCTTCTCTGCCTTACGAGGCGAGCGCCCCGCCCTGTGATGTCAGCATCGCTTGGACACGCCCCCAACCAGCCTCCGGCGCACCTTCTCCGAGGACCACTTCTCTCCAGAGCTTGGGACACGCCCGCTGTTGAGTCACCAAAGAGGGCGTGTCCTCTCTCCCTGGACGCGCCCCCAATGCCTAAGCCTCGAGGACCGGATCCAAATAGGCCTTGGTTGGGGTGGCAGGTGTGTGGTTTCCCCGGGAAGTGGAGGTAAGGTCCTCGCCAAGTTGGAGACCTCAGTGGAACACGCGACACATGCTCTCCAGGTTTCTTCACACATATGTACCTGCCGCAGGCACTGTCTCGACTGAAGACTTGGTGCTGACCATGGTCTGGCTGACAGGCATCATCGGCCAGTCCACACCAAATCAGCATCCATCTATAGCTTTTAAGCATTTCCAAAGCTTAAAAATTCTAGCAACATTTACCCCATCTTTGAAGAGTCAAAACTCAGAGCAGAATCCATTGGGTCTGGCTTCTTAGTCAAGACTCATCTACCTTGGGTATTCCTGATGGGGAAGTTAGGATTTACCAAGCAATTACTTTCTAGGTGTTTTTAATTCTTTTTTTTTTTTTTTTTTAACAAACAGTTGTTTCTTTTTTAGATGTATGAGTGTTTTGCCCGTCTGTGTGTTTGTGTACCACGTGCGTACATGTGCCCAGGGAGGTCAGAAGTGGATTTTGGATTTGCTGGAACTCGAATTACAGATCATTGTAAGCCACCCTGTGGGTACTGGGAAACCCAAGTCCTTTGCAAAAGTAACAAGTGCTCTTACCTGCTGACCCACCTCTCCACCAGCTCCTGCTTTCAATTGTTTACATGAATAGTGAGAGCACTGGTTACTAAAGGTCAATTATATCAACACACTTGGACCACTATAAACTAAAAGGAGGCTAAAACAAACGCACAATACCAAATAGCTACTCTGGCTTTAGTAGTAACATGTGTACTGGACTTGGCAGTCAAGAGCACACACTGCTCTTGCAGAGGACCTGAGTTTTGTAGAGTTTTGTCCCCAGCCTGTAATTCCAGCTTCTGGGGAATCAGATGCTTCCTGCCTCCATAGTCACTGCAAGGGAGGGGAGATAAAAAGATTTGAATACTTTAATGTAAGCACAAGTTTGCAGTGTTTGATAAAATAGACATATTTAATGTTTCATACAGAGACAAGACTATGAACACCACACTCTTAACAGTAACACTATAGCAAGCAAAAATCTCAACCTTATTCTTTCCCAAATCCATTTTTCCTAAAGACATCTGAAATTTATTTCACCTGATGCCAATTTACATGCTTCTTTCTAAAGTTGTTCAGCAGTCTCCATAGCAACACTAACTCCAAGGCGCTTGGTATAAAGCGTCTTAGGGGATAGGTGGTATACGTGTCTCCCCCTGCTGGTTAAATAAGGATGTCTTGTGCTGTAAGCAAAATCAGCCCAACATTACTTGAACCTGGCAAGGCTTTGGTTAAGCGGCTTTGGTTATTGTTTTAAGATTTATTATGTATACAGTGTTCTGTCTACATGCATGCCTGCACACCAGAGGAGGACTTCAGATCTCATTATAGATGGCGTTGAGTTGCCGTGTGTGGTTGCTGGGAATTGACTCAGGACCTCCGGAAAAACAGTCATTAGTTAACAGTTCTCAACTTCTGAAACATCTCTCCAGCCCCCAGTGGCTTTGGGTTTCTGTTGCTGTGATAAAACACCATGACCAAAGCAACCTGGGGAGAAAGGGGTTTATTTCAGCTTATAACTCTCCGGTCACACTCCATCACTGAGGGGAGTCAGGGCTGGACGTTAAATGGGGCAGGAACTGAGGAGTGGTATTTATAGGCTTACTCAGCCTGCTTTCTTATACAGTTCAGGGCCACCCACCCATGGGTGGCACCACCTACAGTGGCCTTCGATAGGTAGCAAACCTAGCACAATTCTCAGGGTCTGTGGCTCCTCCCAGCTCTTCTCACCCCCACCTCCTACCCTAAACCTCTCAGCCCAGGGCCTGGACTTCTCTTCTCCCAGCCTTGGACCCCTATATAATCTCAGCCATTTGGGCCATGCTGGTCTCTAGGTCTCTTGGCCTCTTGTCCTACCCCCCCCACCCCACACTCCCAAGCCCACCTCTCTCTCCTGTCACAGCCCCATTCAGTCTGGACCCTTCCAGATGTCTCTGGTTGGTTTTTTCCCCTCATGTCTACAATAAACCCATACCTGGGAGCAGTCATGTCCTCATTTTTTTTCATTCAGACTTGCCCCCCCCATCAATCATTAATAAAATGTCCCTATACACTTGCCCATTGGACAATCTGATGGGAGCGTTTTTTTTTTTCAATAGTTCCCTCTTTCCAACTGACCCTAGCTTGTGTCAAGTTGACAAAAGACTAGCTAGCACACCAAATCAGGGCATCTTACGCTCTTTTTTTCCCCCCCAATTCACAACCCTTTATTTCCAGAGAATTTTGTTGTTGTTTTGAGACAGGGTCTCACTATTTAGCCCTGTCTGGCCTGGAACTCACTTTGTAGACCAGGTTATACTTGAACTCACAGAAACACACCCGCCCCTGCCTCTCGAGTGCTGGAATTAAAGGTGTGTGACACCATACCTGGCCTGAGAATTCTTTTATGTAACCCCAGCTGTATAAAATAGACATAAAGTTCTAGTAGATCTGATGTCTATTCTGGCCTCCACCTGCACACACGCGCGCACGCACACACACACACACACACACACACACACAAAATAAAATCATTTTAAAAGATAAAATAAGTATACAAATCAAGTATTTACTGATGACAATTTATGTTAAAAATAATTATTTGGCATACACATAATTTTATCATTTATTAAAAATGAAAGCAGATTTGCATATTAATTAGATGGATGTGGTTGTTTAATTTTACATAAAGAATTAAATCTTGGCTGCATGTTTGATACTGGCAGTATAGAACATTGTGCTGGTTAATTTTTGTCAACTTGACACAAGCTAGAGTCATCTGGGAAGAAAGAACTTCAATTGAGGAATTGCTTCTATCAGACCAGCCTGTGGGCATGTCTGTAGGGCATTTTCTTGATTAAGGATTGATGTGGGAGAGCCGAGTCCACCGCGGATGGTGCCACTCCTGGGCAGGTGGTCCTGAGTTGTATAAGAAAGCAACTGAGGGACTGAGGAGAAAACTTGGTGATTAAGAGCACGTGCAGAGGACCTGAGTTTAATTCCTAGCACTCATATAGTGCTATGAGCCGCAGGAATATAGTAAGAATTCAGCTCAATATGGTAAAACTATACCTGGAAGAATCAAGAAATTCTTCCAGAGTAAAAACCAGATCTTTTCGAGGCCAGCCTGGGCTACCAAGTGAGTTCCAGGAAAAGGCGCAAAGCTACACAGAGAAACCCTGTCTCAAAAAAACCAAAAAAAAAAAAAAAAAAAAAAAAAAAAAAAAAAAAAAAAAAAAACCAGATCTTAAGGAGTATTTAGTGTTATTTGGCTTTTAATATATCAACTGTTTCCTGCTATGAATTTCATGTGCACCCTCATAGCTTCCCCAAGAGCTTCTAAGGTATTCGGATACAGTCACATAGGCAAGGTTTCCTGCCTCCAGGCCTTCTGCTTTTCTTTTTTAGCATTAAAACCAGATATCTCCTGTAGCTCCACCCAAGGACAAATGACAGAAATAGCACTCCAGACCACCATCTGCCAGTCTCTTGAATTAAGGTAAATTCCATATGGAGACACTGCCTAGGTCAGGCAGACCTTAAGTACATAGCTTTGTTTCTTGTACAAATTAAGCCGAGACCCTCCTTTCTTATACAGCCTTAGTGGTATTTGTACTAACATTATAGACTCCTAACATTTTACCTAACCACTTTCAGGAATGTAGTTTGAGCACATAAATTCCCTTTTTATGATATATCAACTGATTTTAGCTCTCAGCTGACCTCCTCCTTTACCACTCCCCTTTTGGGTTGTAAAAGAAAGCCTGACGGTCACTGACCGAGGAAAACTCTTGTCTACCTTTATGACCCTGTAAGAATTCAAGCCTGGTGACCTTGCTTTAGCTAGAGCATTGCTATTGCATGGGTATATAACTGTAAACCTCAGTGACTGGGGGACTAGATTGGAGAACTAGATGGATAACTAGAAGGACAAGATGGGAGATGAGGAAGAGCCTGATGGGAAAGAACTAGGTGGGTAAGAACAAGATGAGAAAGACCAAGATGGGGCAGAACTAAAATGAAGGAATTAAGGTAGCACTTAGAGGGAACAGCAGAAAGATGTAGAGAGAATCAGGCAAGAAAGGAACTAAGTACACGAGCAGAAAAGAAGATGTCTAGAGAGAAATGACTCAGAAGAATAAAGTGTATGGACAAAGAGTTTTGTGTGAGTAGGTTTATTAGTGACCCCTTCAGATGAATCTGCTGCCGGTATCGTCTCTTCTGGAACTCTGGGTGAAGGCTATCGAGGGTTGGGACCCCAATAGCTTTTGTTAATATAAGGGCTCACAATTATCTATAACTTCAGTTCCAACATTTCTTCTGACCTTCTCAGGTACCAGGCATGCACGTGGTACACATGCAAACATGCAAGCAAAACAACTAGACAAATAAAAATAGAATGATTAAGTCTAGAAAGAAAGAATCATAGCTAAGCAAGACCTGGAAAGCAAGTAGCTTCTTCCATGGTTCCTGCTCCAACTCTTCTCAGTGATGGAGCCTTTCTTCTCAAGTTGGTTCTTGTGCTGGCTAGTTTTGTGTCAATTTGACCCAAGCTAGAGTTCATATCTGCCTCTTTAATTTTATGACTGCTAGCCCACATTCTATCCTTCATAAATTGCTGGGAGTAGAAAGAGGTTGAGGGCCTGGAAGAGAATAAGAGCCAGTAAAATCTGACTGTTGTGTTTGCTGATTTCTATGGTGTAAACATTCACTGATGCTGACTTCAAACTTCCTACACAGGAACCAAAGATATCATTGAGAAAGGAGTTCATTATGTAAAAAATTCACCAAGTAGATGCAATACACAGAAATAACCTCAGGAGCATAAATAATAGTGAGAGATTGTTTTTTTTTAAATGGGCAGTAGTAAGTACTGAGTATATTGTCATTATTTATTTACTTATTTATTTGTGTGTGTGTTTCCTATGCCCATGTGCATGCACCAGCACATGTACACACACACACACACACACACACACACACACACACACACACACACACACGGTGTGTGTGTGGGGGAACAGAGGAAGTCCTTCTCTATCACTCCCCAATTTTATTCCTTGAAACAGGGTTGTGGAATATTTGTACACTGTGTGAAGACGTATTTCTGTGATTGGTGTAATAAAAAACTGAATGGCCAATAGCTAGGCGGGAGACTTCTGGGCAGAGAAGAACACTGGGACGGAGAAAGGTGGAGTCGCCAGCTGGAAGCAGAGGAAGCAGGACTTGCAGGAGGAGAGGTAAGAGCCATGAGTCACATGGCAGGATGTAGATTAATAGAAATGGGTTAAGTTACAAGCCTAAGCTATAGGACAAGCTTTCATAATAAGAAGTCTCCATGTCACTTTTGGGAGATGGCTGGCAGGACAAAGAAAGACTCATTACACAGTGTCTCTCACTGAACCTAGATCTGGTGGGTACTTTAGCTAGGTTGGCAATCCAGCAAGCTCCAACAAGCCCTTCTGTCTCCCCTCAGTCCCACACTCAGTGCTGAGGCTGAAGCTTAGCTCTTTGCATGGGCACAGGGCACCTGGACTCATAAACTCGTGCTTGTGTAGCACATGCCCTTGCCCACTGAGCAAGGTCTCAAGTGTCACAGGCTGGATTCAACCCAGCTATGTAGCTGAGGCCGACCTTGAACTCTTGACCCCTGGCCTCTGGCTCCCAAGTGCTACAGTCATGCCTGTATTTTTAAATTTAAGTTTATAAAACTTGATTTAAAGAAGGCAAGTTTAATAATTAGCTTACAAATTTCCCGAAAATGACAAGCTGCTAAGAACAAGCTTCAAACTGTGAGTCTGAGAGAACGGAGCAACAACTAAATTCTCAAAGGACGACGGGGACTTGACTCCTTCTGGCCATCATTTTATCACTTCCTGCGTACAGTGATCAACACACGGCTGGAGCAAACAGCAACTAAGATAACCTGAAAGTCCTTATTCACAGTCCTAAGTCTATGACTCAAATATGGAAAAGTGAAGCCCCAGGAAGCTTTCTGTAGTTCCTTTATGTGCTAGTTACAATCATCAGCCACACTTTAGAGCTTTCCATAGTTTTCAAAATACGTTCCTTCACTTGCTGCAGTTGTTGACCGAGCACCCGGTGTGTGCAAGGAACTTTCCTACGTGCCATCAGCACGTACGGAGACAGGGGAAATCATTCATCACCTGTGCAGCATTTAGTTGGGCCAACAAGCAAATAATTTCAGATTGGGGGCTGGAGAGATGGCTCCGTGCATAAGAGAGCTTGCAGGACAAGCGTGAGGACCTACGTTTGGATCCCAGCAACCAAATGAAAAGCCAGACATGGCCTCCCATGGGCCGACAACCCCAGCATTGTCGTGGGCGGGCCAGGAGGGTCACTGGGGCTTGCTGCACATAAGCCTGTTATCGGTCCAGTGAGGGACTCTGTTTCAAAGGAATAAAGAGGAGAGAGGGAAAGCTGGCCGGCCACCAGACAGCCTCCTCTGACCTCTGCACATGCGCACCAACATCACACACAAATTAATGAATAATGAAGTAAAAAGAAATTTATAAATAGCCAATCAGATGGTAAGACATGCCATGAAGAAAATAAATCAGAGTAATAGGTTAAGAGGCCAAGACATTTAGAGGATGTCAAAGGGCCTCCCCAAACTTCTATTTGAGCCAGAGACCCAAGGAAGGTGAGCCTGTTCCTTGCTAAGGGACAGCAAGCTCAAAAGCTCTGTGGTGAAAATGCATTTGTAGGACTTGGAGAGATGGCTCAGTGGTTAAAACCACTTGCTACTTTTGCAGAAGAGCTAGGGTTAGGTTCCCAGCCACACATCGTGGTTTATAACCATCTGTAATTCCAGTTTAGGGGATCAGACACCCTCTTTTGGCCCCTCTGGGCACCGGGCACACATATGATACGCATACATTTTATATATATATATATATATATATATATATATATATATATATATATATGGACTCTCTCACTCTCTCTCACACACAATCATAAATGAATAAATCATGCCTTTAATCCCAGCACTTGGGAGGCAGAGGCAGGTGGATCTCTGAGTTCGAGGCCAGCCTGGTCTACAGAGTGAGTTCTAGGACAGCCAGAGACACACAGAGAAACCCTGTCTCAAAAAGAAAAAAAAGGAGAGAGAGAGAGAATGAGAATTTGTTTGCGGGTCAGTGAAAGAGCCGGACCACCTATGTAACCTAGATGTACAGAGCAATGGGTGTGTGGTAGGTCAGTTCAGGGGGACTGGCAGGGGCCAACCACCAAACAGCACTGTGGGGCAGAAGGGCTACTGGTCTGAAGCAACACTAGACATTGAGGACTTTTCTTGTTCTTTCATATCTGGGTGGAGACAATTGATGCCACCCTAGGATAGAGTCAAGGGACTGGTCTAAATGTTTGTGTTTCCAGACTCATCCATAGAAGTCCTAACTCCCATCAAAAGGTAGTGTGAGCACTCCAGGGAGATGATGAGCTCACCAGAGTGGAGCCTTCATAAACAGGGCCGTGCCTACATCAGTTCCTCGTCTCGCTGCCGAGATGCAGCACCTGACAACCCCTTAAGGAAGGGAGGGCTGATTTTAGCACACACTCTGTGGATGGGGGGAATCCATGGGAGCACAGACTTGAGATGAGTGTTCACTTTCCATCCAAAAAGGCAAGAAGGAGAGAGGCGTGAGCGCATGTGTTCAGCTTGCTTTCTCCTGTTTATTCAGCCTGGAACCCCACCAGTGGAACTCTGCACCCCAACCCCTCCCCCCACCCCACCCCCCCACCCCCGCCGCCCTTAGAATAGATCTTCCTACTTCAATTAACCTAAACTAGATAGATACTCCTCACAGCCAATCCAGAGATTGATTCCCATGGTAGTTCTAAATCATATTCCTCACAGCCAATCCAGAGATTTGTTCCCATGGTAATTCTAAATCCCAGCAAGTTGGCAAGATAATGAGCTGGCAAGACAGCTCAGCAGGTAAAGGAAATTTTCACCAAGCCTGATGACCAGAACCCACATGGTGGAAAGAGAGAACTGACCCCCATGTGTTGTCCTCTGACCTCCACAAGTATACTGTGGCTTGCATGCCCATACACGTAAACACACACACACACACACACACACACACACACACACACACACACACACACACACAGAGAGAGAGAGAGAGAGAGATGAATGCAAAATAAAGATTCATCATCACAGTGACTATGATAACATGAGATATAGGTATCCTGAATGAGCTATGTTAGAAACATGGTTGAGTAACCGACACATTACAACAGCTACTAAGTGGTCTTAAGAGCCGTAGGGTTTAGAGGTGCTATACTGAAGGCAGAGAGGAGAGTTGATGGAGACACCCGGGAACATCCCTACACAGAACCAGATAAGGTTTAGCAACCTGCACTAGTGTATGTAGGACACCGAGTTTTCAAGTGCAGGTCCTGATGGTAGGCAGTCTTGAGTGTCACTTTGAAGTGGTCTCAACGTGTCCAAGTGTCCAAGCAGGACAAACTGTCTTTGAGTTGGAGTCCAGGACCAACACGGAGGTCTTTTGCTCTGGTAATTTTCCTGGACAAGTCTTATGAATCATGAATAATGTCTTGGTTTTTTATTTCCTGTTCTGTGCTAAAAAAACACCCTCACAAAAGCAACCTAGTGGAGAAAGGCTTTATTTGACTTACAATTCCAGGTTACAGTCCATCATTGTGGGAGATCAAGGTAGTGGGAGCTCAAAGCAGTCACACTACATCTTCAGTCAAGAAGAGAACAGTGAATTCGTACATACATGTACATGAGTGCTCAGTTCCTCCTCTTTTCTATTAGTCCTGGACCCCACCACAAAATGGTGCTGCCAGCATCCTAGGTGGGGCTTCTCACCTCAAATGACCCAATTAAGAAAATCCTTTATAAGCATACAAGCCAACCTATAATTTCTCACTGGGCTTCCCTTCCCAGGTGGTTCTGTATTATGCCAAGTCAACAATCAAAACTTCACCATCACAGTGAGCAACAAAGGGATGGTTCAGTGTCTACCACTTCTCAGTCTTGGTGGGCTCCATTCCATATGTCCCAGGGGAGGGGCATGTCTGGTGACACCAATAGGTGTAGTGGGTAGCTGTTCCAGCTTTGACCTGGAAGTACTACCCCCATTGAGGCTTCCGGTAACTGTCATGCCTATGAGGCAGGGTGGAAAGAGGAGCCCTTAAGACCCGAGAGCCGGATGTGTGGGCTCTCTTGGTTCCTGGATCCTGGATGCTGGAGGTAGACCGAGCAGAGTTCTCCAGAGAACACCGCCGGACTGCGTTACACCTTTCCCGGACCCTGTAACCTATCCCTTCACTTGTAAATTACCCTACAAAATAAACCTCCCTTTTAACTACGAGGAGTTGCCTTAATACTTCAACCAATAAACAGGTCTGTGTTTCTCCTTTGATTTGATACATTCACAGGTGTAATTCTTTATTGGCACAAATAAGCCATCAGTTTGTGCCTCCTGGTGTGCTGGCAGATGGTGTTTACTTGTGTAAACAAGATGTAGAATAATTCTGTCTTTAGCCCTTATACCCCAAATGGAGTAGCTCCAGTTAAAACAGTAGCTTTCAAATGGAATAACAAATATATTTAAAACAAAGAAGTCCAAGGTCATCCTTGTCTACATAGTGAGCATGAGGCCAGCCTGGGAATACGTGAGACCCTGGGGTGAGGGGGAGCGCTCTTTTCCTACAGAGCCCATCTTGGCAGTCGGTTTATGCATATGGTTGGTGGTCGTCTCAGGCTTCTCCCAGCTGATGATGAACAACCACAGAATTGGGGGTGGGGGATATCTTCCCAAAGCAGGTGGGCAGATGACGCACACTTGATCCCTACCAACCTAGTCATACGGTATTTTTCAGGTTTTTTTTTTTTTTTTAAATCTCAAGAACAAAGGTCATTATGTCAAGAGTTATTCTTATCACTGATTGGCTTATGCCTATGCTGTTTATATCACAAAGGGCAGGCCAGATGGGGCAGCTGCCCCACGGCCCTGTGGTTGATTGCCAAACGCATGGTAAGGAATGGAAACACACTTGGTACTCCACTCCAGTTCTCCACCGTCAGATGTCTAGTTCACGGTCTTCTGGCACTGGACTTTCAGTCTCAGACCAAACTACCCACACTGAACAGAGGCAGGGGAAGTGTGTTGAGCTAGAACAGGACCCCCTGGGGATTGAATATGAGTGGTTGATTGGTGGCCGGTTATTTTCCATTTTGGTCATAAAATACTTTTATCACAGATGGAGAATCACACCCCAGGTGGTTTTGCCAGTGAGCATCCAGGCTACTCTCCACCTGTTATTCCGGTGTTTTGATTTACTCTGGACATTTTGCTGCTAATGAGAATCCACCTCTAGTGGTGAAATAAATCACGGAGACACAATAGAACTCACTAGTATTAGCCTCTCATTTAAAAACTGGTCACCTGGGGCTGGAGGGATGGCTCAGAGGTTCAGAGCACTGGCTGCTCTTGCAGAAGGCCTAGGTTGAGCAACCAGCACCCATATGGTGCCTCACAACCATCTGAAACTCCAGTTCCAGGGGATCTGACACCCTCTTCTGGCCTGCCTGGGCACCAGACACACATGTGGTACACAGACATGCATGCAGACTAAACATCCATGCCCATGAAGCAAATAAATCTTTTCTAAAAAAATTGAAAATGTAATCACTTAAAAAAATTAAAAATTATATACCTAATTCTCAAATGGACATACATATTATAAATATAGCCACCTCTATCATCTCCCATTGCATCCCAGTCTCCTTGATAGTGTATTTAAATACTGTTACTTTATGCACCATTGTTTTAAGATATTCCTATCTTCTTTCCTAAACTTTTACTTATTTTTCGGTATTTTTTCGTACTTATTCCTGGTCAAGAGATCCTAACGGCCAGATTAATTCACCCAATTTAATCAAAGAAAAGGCCTAAATTTACAGCTTATTCATATTTAGACTGTTTAGAAAAATGCAAATAAACTTAAAACATTTATCAAATATGCATGTCAGAGGACAACCTTGCATGTTGGTCCTTAATTCCTACCTTTTTTTTTTTTTTTTTTTGAGACAGAATCTCTTTGTTGTTCCCCAATGCACATACCAGACTAGCTCGCAGGGATTCTCCTGTCTCCACCCACTTCCTCACTGTAGGAGCAAAGACTTTAAAGATTTGATGCCATGCCAGGCTTTACGTGGTAGGGCAGGAGATTTGATCTCAAGCCCTCACGGTTGTGGGGCAAGTGCTCTGTCCACTGAGCCATCTCCTCTGCCCCAGCCACAGGGGTATTTTTGTTGTCATTTACTTATTTTGTATTTATTTAGGGCTAATGCATTGGCGTGCGTGAAGTCCGAGAACAACTTGTAGGAGGCTGTTTTTTCCTTGCACTGTGTGAGTCCCATGGATGAACTCAGGTCATCGGTGCAGAACCAAGTGCCTTGACCCACTGGCTATCTTGCTGCCCCTCCCTCAGGCACAGTTTTAACTCAGATGAAAACTTTATCCATCCATGCATCTGGATAGCCAGGTAAACCAGATACAAAGCAACTTTCTGAGGATAGTTTGAAGCTGGGTGTGGTGGTACTTGCCTTTAATCCCAGCACTCTGGAGGCAGAGGCAGGTGGATCTCCGAGTTCAAGACCAGCTTGGTCCACAAAGTGAGTCCCAGGACAGCTAGGGCTCCACAGAGAAACTGTGTCTCATAAAACACATGCACACATACACACAACACACACACACACACACACACACACACACACACACACACACACACACTAGCTTGAAGTTGCCATCACTGGTCCCCTGGGGACAGAAGTTTATATGATGGAAACTGACCTAGAAAAAGGATATTTAATTTTTAAAATTGCTCCATATTTAAAGTGGGAAACAAAGTGTTCCACATGCCTGAAAGGATCTGCTGAACAGAACTTTAAGTGAGCTTGATTTTAGCCCCCTCCAGGAAGACACCCTAACATAAACAGGCAAAGAGGTAGATCTTGGCAAAAGTTGTTTTGTTTTCATCATTTTGGTTTTGAAATGTATTGTGGAATATTATTTTAAAGTGTGTTGCATTTTTTTTCCTGCTGCTTTTGTTAATAATGCAAAGATGTGTTTGCTTGATTAAGTAAAATTAACCTGCGGGCAGGAGGCTGAATCAGCAAGTAGCTGACAGGAAGTGGTAAGCAGGAACCACGTGTAGCTAGGGTTCTTAAGTGCGGGCTGAGAGAAGGACGCTGGGTTTTTTTTTGCAGGCAAAGGGAGAAAGTTAGCTACTTGCTCTTCAGTCCCTCTGAGAGAGCAGAATTCCACCTCAGCCTTTGAATTTTGAGTTCTTTAGAGGGCTAGAGAATTAGATAAGTTCCTTTAGTAGCTTTGAAAGAGTCGGTGCCTGAGGGAACGGAATCCCCTCAGGCTGCAGCCCTTGCAGGCCGAACCCTTGCTAGTAGCAGTAAAGTTGCAACCTCTGATCAGGACAACCATTGCTTAAAAGGCAGCCACAGTTATAAAGAAAAACACAGGAATGTGTCTTAGTTACTTTTCTGTTGTTGTGATGAGACACCGTGACTAAGACTTACTTATAGAAGTAAGAGTTTATTTGGGGCTTACAGTTTCAGAGGGTGAGCGTCCTTAGTTAGGTTTTCATTTCTGTGATGAGACACCATGACCACAGCAGCTCTTATAAAGGAAACATTTAATTGAGATGACTCATTTACAGTTTAAAAGGTCCAGTCCACTTCAGCATGATGGGGAGCATGGCAGCGTGCAGGCAAATGTGGTGCTAGAGATGAAGAGTGCTACATCTTGCAGGCAACAGGAAGTCGACTGAGACACTGGTCAGTATCCTGAGCATAGGAATCCTCAAAGCCTTGCCCCCACAGTGACACACTTCCTCCGACAAAGCTACACCCACTCCAACAAAGCCACACCTCCTAATAATGCCACTCCCTGTGAGATTATGGGGGCCAATGACATTCAAATCACCACCGTGAGTCACTCACCATCATGGCAGTGGGCAGGCAGGCATGGTGCTAGAAGAGTAGCTGAGAGTTACACACAAGCTGAGAGACACACAGATACACACATCTGATCCATACACACGAGGCAGAGAGAGCTAACTCAGAATGGTTTGGGCTTTTGAATCCTCACTGCCCACCTCCAATGACACAGCTCATCAACAAGGCCACACCTCCCAATCCTTCCCAAACAATTCTACTAACTGGAGACCAAATGTTCAAACATATAAGCCTATGGAGGGTCATTCTCATTCAAACCACCACAAAATGCAAGCCAGTCTATTGTCACTCCTTACCCAATTTAGCAGCCCAAATCAGGGCATTATTTCTTTTAATAGAACCCTGACTACTTCTGAGGGCATTTCCATGTCGGTGGGTACAAAAAGGTATCTAGTTTCCAGGAATGATAGGCATTCAGTAGTTTATTTGCTGTGTCATACTCTCATCTTTTTTGGCCAAGTTTTTGCATGTTGATGAGTGACCAGAAAGACGTACCTAAAATCTGTGCAGATTTTCACCTTCTTCCTGGCTGACACTTGTAGGGTCGTTGTCAACACTGAATTTTGCCTTTATTGCTGATGTCTCAGCAGAGGAGTTTCGCCTTTATCCCTCGGTCAGTCAAGGCACATAGCCCATATGGTATAACCCAGAGCCAGCACCCTCGTCCCAAGAAGTTCCATCCAACAGTGAAAAGCTCCCTGCCGCATTGATTTGCCAGGGCAGTCCTGCTGTACTAGGCTAAGTCCACAGTTTTTATACAATTTTTATGACTTAAAGCATCAGTCCTATGAAGTGTACTATAGACTGATATTTGCCCGTTATTTTAGCTCTTTTTTTGGGGGGGGAGTTCATACAGGGTTTCTCTGTGTAGTTTTGGTGCCTGTCCTGGAACTTATTCTGTAGACCAGGCTGGCCTCGAATTCACAGAGATCCAGCTGGCTCTGTCTCCTAAGTGCTGGGATTAAAGGTGTGCGCCACCACTGCCCTGCTGTTGTTTTAGCTCTTAGCCAATTAGCACTTTGCTCTAAAAGTCAGTACCTGGTGATTAAAAATTATTTTTTTAATGGATGTTGTCAGGGACAGGGACAGAATCTCTAGTTAGTGGAAAAATACAGACCCCCCAGTAAGACAAGGAACTAGATCAGC